AAAAATAGAAACTGAAAAGGGAGGGGGGGAGAGAAAAGAGCCATGGTTGGTGCAAGGTCGCCAGGAGGTCACAGAGGGGGTGGGCAGGGGGAGGGTGGTTGGGCACCGGGGGCCGGCTGTTGACCTGCAGGTGTGTTGCTGGCTTTCAGCAGAGGGGTTGTGGGATCAGCAGAAGGGTACGTGGGGGCTGTGGGGGGGTGTGGATTCGAGTGGTAGGGGACTGACAGGGGTTAGCAGAGGGGCATGGCAGAGTTAGTGAGAACAGCTGAGAGGTGGGTGCGGGTCAGTGGGGGGTGGGTTGGTGATAAGTCAGCTGGTGGGTCGACGGGAGTCGGCAGGAAGTCCACTGGGGAGTTGGTGGGAGCTAGCAGGGAGGCCTGTAGCAGCGCTCTAGGGGTGGGCGGGGCACTGGAGGGCCAGTGGGAGAGGGCCCATAAGGCCATGGTCTGAGGTGGGTGCTGGCCCCCAGGAGGGGTCTCTGGGGATCAAGGTTGCAGACATCCCCAGCACTGGGAGGTGGTTCAAGTCGACTCTCCCTCTCTCTGGGGCCCTCTGTGAGGTGGGCCCAGGTCGGCGGGGTCCCTGACAGACTGACTGACAGTCCTGACGACTTGTGGGTCCCTGGAGGACACTGTCCCAGCCCCACGGAGCACGTGACCTCCTCAGTCGATCTGACATCGGGGGAGCAGGGGGCCTGCAGGAGTGGAATGCTGGGGACCCAGAGCCCTGGCCCTGACTGGTAACACCCCACCCCTGCCCCCATGCACAACACCCTCTAGCCCGTAGTGTGTGGCCGAGGCACCAGGCTGCTACTGTAAGGTCAGGGCTCAACCCGAAGCTCTTCAAGGGTGAAGACGGCTGTCTGCCAGGCGAGGCTTCACAGCTTCACAGCTCTGCGTCTGCCGGGTCGCCCTGGCAGTGGGCTGGAACCACCATGGAGGCGGAGTGGCCCACAAACCTCAGGGAGCCCTCAGGACCCCACATTGTCCCAGCCCACAGGCGGTGGAGCTAAGGGCCCGGTGGGAGGGGGTGGGCCAGGGCTGAGGGCAGGGGAGGGCGAGCTGAGTGAGGGCTGCTGTGGGTGCTGTGGCCACGTGCCAGGATCAGGGGTGGGCATCTCTATCACCCATCCCTCCTGGCTGGCCCAGCACCCATGGTTGAGTCCCTGCTGTCCCAGCCCCAACAGGTGTCCAGCCACTCGGGTGCAATTTCAACACCAACCTCCAGGTTCCGCTGAACGGACAAGACAGGGAGGGGGCACCAGATGGCCCGCTCCCCTCAGCACCCAGCTCAGCCAGCCCACCAAGGCCTGACTGGATGTCGGCCCCCAGCCCCAGCCCTGCAGCAGTTGTGTCTGGTGCAGAAAGAGGGGGCTGCGGGAGGCTGTGTCTAGCAGGCCCACAGTCCTAGGGAAGAGGACTTTAGGCCCAAAGGCCAGAGACCCCTGAGTATCGGCTTAGTATAGCCCCCAAGGCGTGGGGCTATGAGAGCGGGGCCTCCCAAGGTGGCCGGGTTGAAGGACCACTGTGGATTGCCCCCACAGCCCCCATCCTGACCCCTTTGAGGTCAGCTCCGTCCTGACCCAGAGACCGGGGCCTGTTACCTCTGTCCTCTCGGCCTCTAAGTGCAGGCTTTTACCTTCTCCTCCAGCTCCTTGGCCTGCCTCTTCTGCGCCTCCATGTGCTCCTCCAGCTCTTTGATCCTCTGCAGCACAAGGGGGACAGTCCCTGTCACCAGGGCTGGAGCCTCAGGAAAGCTGGCTGCTCTTCCTCTTTCTCCTCCCCACCCCCAGCCCCTGCGTCCCTCTTCCTCCCCATCCGCACGGCCTTCACCGTCTTCTCCTGTGTGTGAAACCGTTTTTCTTCTTTCTGCAAAACAACGTTTCCATGAACGATTTCTCTTTCCGAGACTGACTAAGGTCTCCAACTTTGTCCACGTCATGAGGCGCTTGGCAGTCTCGTGACTGCGCTCTGGGTGCACGAGATCCCACTGTGAGTCTGTATGAGTTTATTTGCCCACTCCTCCACCGAGAGGGGGCTGGTGGACTCTGGGGGTTTGCTATTATGAAATTGTTTTGATTCATGTGGGAATGTCTATATCTGTCCACGTTTCGCTCTTCACATCTTCAGGGTGGGTACCGAGTAGAGAGGTGGCCGGGCCCTGAGGTATGTCTGTTCCCGCGCGCATAAGGAAGCGCTATACTGTCCCCACAGTGGCTGTTCAATTTTGCAATCCTACCAGCAACGTGTAATGTCCAATCTCTCCGCGTCCTCTCCAGAATTAAAAAAAAAATTCTTTTTGCTAGTGTCAGTGCGAGGTGGTATCTCACTGTTGTATCAATTTGCCTTTCTCTCAGAGTTCATGATCACAGCGTTTCTTCACATGATTGTCAGCCACCTGGATGTCACCTTTAGTAAACTGTCTACTCCTGCCTTATGAACACTGCCCTTGTTTTTGAAGGTAGACCCAGTGAGGCAGACAGTGATGCCACAGATCTGGCATGCAGTCCCGTGGCACTGATGGCAGTTTTGAGCTGTGTGGCCCTCTCACCTTCCTGCTGGCTCCATCCTCCCCACTCCTCAGACCACTGGGACCATCCCGGCTCCTGTCTAGTCTCTGGAGCTGCTGTGCCTAGTTCGATCCCATCTGGGTCACTCTCTACAGCGCACACGCTCACGTCATGCCTGTTTTGGGACTGGATCGTTTGTGTCTTTCTTATGGAGGCTGCAGGCTTCTGTAGGGTTTCCAGACTGGCCTTGACTGGCTGCACCACTGCCAACGCTTTCCCCCAATCTTTGGGCTCTCTTGTTCTTGATGGATCCTTTCGATGTACAAAGTGTCGTGTTTTCAAAAGGTGTGAGTCCTCGATTTAGTCTTCTGTTGGGTGGGTGTTTCCGTGTATCTATGCCTTGTGCTAGAACCCCTACGTCTGCCCGTTTTTCATTTAGATCGACACCGTTCCAGGGCTTACGCTTAGGTCTCTTCTCGCTCTGTGTCCATGCTGTGCACGGCAAGGGAAATGGGTCATTCTTTGGCAGGTGGAAATCCAATTCTTCCAGCACCACTCATTGAAGCGACTATCTCTTCCCCTTGTGTGCGCCTGGGCCTGTCTCCAAAACCAAGCACCTGTCTGGGGTTCAGATGTATTTGTGGGTGTTCCACTCTACTCAATCGGTCCATTGGTCTGCATAGCTTCATTGGAGCAATTCTAAACAGTCTGACTACCCGGGGCTGTCTAATAGATTTTGAGATAAATGAGTGAGAGACTTCCTACTTGCTTCCCATTTTCTAGCAGTATTCTGTTAGTCCTGGGTTTCGTTCTGTTCCACACAAGACTGGTGATAAGCATGTCACATTCTTCCAACTGTGTAACCCTCTCTGTTTCTCGTAGAAGTGTTTTACTGTTTTCTTTATATAACTCCTTGGATCCTCTGGTTAAATTTATTCCTACATATTTGATCTTTTGTGTGGTGACTGTCAATGGGGTTGTTCTTTTAAACATCTTTCTGGAATCCTCTTCCTTAATACGCAAGAACCCAGTGGATCTTTGTATGTTGGTCTGACAGCCTGCGATGCTGCCAGTTCAATTAGTTCCCGAGATTTTCGAATAGCGTCTTTGGGTTTTCTCTATAAGAGACCACGTCCTCAGAAAATAGAGCTTTCCTTCTTCTTCGCCAGTTGGATGCTTTCTTATCTTTTGATGTCAAGGGATTTTACTTCCATTCCTAGTCTATTGGCTGATTTTATTGAGCATGTATATTATTTATTAAGTGCCTTTTGGCCTCAATTAATATAATCATATGGTTCTTTTGTTTTCTTTATGTGGTTAATTACAATTAAATTGATTGTTGAGTTAGTTAATTGTGCCAGCCTGGCCAATAATCACATGTGGGGCTAATTGAAAGGCGGAGGGATAAATGGGTGGTGAGCCTC